TGAGCAACTGCCAGACGAAACCTTTTGAGGCAGAGAGGCTTCTCATTCAGTAGGGCACAATCCCTCTTATGAATGAGCCAGGCATTTGAGATGCACAGATCAAGAATCGCCTTGATTTTGCTGGGGTCTTGTACATGTGAACCAGCATATCTGAGAGGTCGATGCCTCCCATATGTTGATTGTAGTGAAACCCACTGAAATGTATGACATCACCCAGAAGCAGCAGGCTGAAGCAAAACAAACATGGCTGACCTGTAGAGGCTGTTTTAGCCTCATTTCTATCTAAAACCCAGCAGTAGGACACGATCTGTGCCTGTTTGGATGGGAGGGAATGCGGAATGGACTGCATCAGTTAACTCCACTAGTTGTGAAACAAACCAAGAAGGTGACAGACATCTTACAGCTGCTGTGATTGGCTAAAAGCATGACATGAAGGCGGGTGCCACTTAGTGATCTAACCAATCAGCTCCATGAATTGTACTGAATGTCCCTCCCTGTGGAGTCTTTTCCAGGTGGAACTCAGATGGAGCTAAAGTTATCAGTCTGGCTCAGTCACAGCTCTGCTCTATGAGGGGAGACTGCCTGGTTTGTGAACGTGGGTCCGGTCTCATAGATCAGTGTGCCAGATCAAGACCATCCCTACAGTAAGGTACGGTGGTGGCAGCATCATGCTGAGGGCTGTTTTCCAGCAGACTAGTAGGATAGAGGAAAAGCTGAGTTCCCAGAGCCCCACAGAGACTCAAAGCACTCGGCTGAGAGGTGAAAGGAGCGGATCAGAACCGCTGTGGAAGTCAAAGCTAGAGCAGAATCTGATGGAACATCTGGAAACCCTCACTCAGGCAAAGGATGAACGCTGCAGAGTCAGGACTGGATGAAAGCAGCTGGTTTCCTTAGATAGAAACAATGGCCCCTGGAGCCAAACATTGGACCCTCCTGAAGCCCACACTGAGCAGAGCCCGCCTCATGACAGAGAGGTTTGGGTTTCTCCTGGAAGCCAGCAGCTGTGGTCAGAGAAGAACCGCTTCAGCTGCTAATGTCTCTGCAGGCTGGGGAGCCAGTGAACATTTACCTCCCAGCACAGCAGAGATGGAGCTCAGTCTGCTGAGAGATGCTGCAGAGAGCTTCCTTCTCTCTGTTAGTCTGGATGAAGACGCCCTGCCTCCTCTTCATCACGTGAAGATGATATCAAACATAAACAGCCTTAATGATTCATGTTTATCTAACTGGCATCATGTCAGTGGAGGGTGTCCTAGTCAAAGTAAATGCTGTGCTCATTGATATGGTGATGGCAGTTTACTGCCCTGCAGCAGCTTTAGATGCAGCCATGGTGGAACGCTGGAATCACGTCCAGTGGATGAATCGATGGCTTTCAGTAAAAGCATCAAAATGGTCGCCCTTTCATAACTGAATTATAGAAATACAATAAATAGTTCCAAAAATAAAACAAACTCCTCTATAAATGGTTTCTATTTAAATAAAGGAAATCATCATCTAGCCCAGGGGCTGCCACCCCAAACTGCTCAAACAGCCATATTGGACCATAAAACACTAAAATATATCTGTCTGAAGCTGCAAAAATGTAAAAGTAAAAAATGTAAAAGTAAAAAATTTAAAAGCCTCGTAGGGCGACATGGAATCTAAGTGAATTAGCCCAGTATAAAAACTGCCTTAAATATATAATAATCATCTATGATTAAATGTTTATCGTGGAGCAGATGCTACATAGTAGCATGAGGTGATGGAGGAGCAGGGAACGCTCTCACCGCACACCGCTTAATGAAAGCAAATGATTCGCTCCATTCTTCTCTGAATCCTCTGTTCTCATCAGCTATCGTCCTTTTTTAGTCTTTGGGATCCATGGCCTGAGACCCCCCCCCCACCGCTTTGTTTACAGCAGCCAGCTGCCTGGCACCGCGCCGCGCTGAAACCTGCTGCAGGTTATGACGTGTTTCTTTGTTGACAGAAATGTTAACATTTACTGTTTAAATGTCCATCCATCCATTTTCCGTCATGCTTATCCCAGCTGGAGTGGCGATGGGTGCGGGTGTCTATCTCCAGCTGTCTACGGGGGAGAAGCGCAGGGCAGCTTCTCGCAGGGAAACACAGAGACAAACAGGACAAACAACCAGTCACACACGATCACACCTAAGGAGAATTTAGAGAAGCCAATTAACCTAACAGTCCTGTTTTTGGACTGTGGGAGGAAGCCAGAGTACCCAGAGAGAACCCACACATGCTCAGGGAGAACATGCAAATTCCATGCTGGAATAGAGAGACCGCGGGACGGGAATCGAACCCAGACCTGTCTTGCTGCCAGACATGCTACCCACCAACCACTGAGCAATAATAAAGGCATTTATTATACAAAGGTTTCCAGCATTGGAAAACAATGAATGTTTGTTTGACCTCCTGCACACCGTCTTAAAATAAACCAAAAATCTATTTTCATAAGTTTTTGAAAAAGCTCCCCCACAAAGAGGTAAGAGACTGCTCTAGTTCTGATGATGAGATGCCCCCCCCCCAACAGGACGTACCTTGAAGACCTCAGAGAAGAAGCCTGAGCCGATCTTTTCACAGAAGAAGTCATCGATGCGGGCCAGGCTGGACACGGCGCTCCGCAGCGCTCTGTATGAGGACGGCCGGATCCGGTTGGGAGCGTGGATGCTGTGGAGCTCATCCAGACCTCCTGGACCATCGTCAGCATTACACAGGCAGCACTCGGTGTGGTAGTCCATGGTTCCTCAGCAGGCTGGGTTAGACCTCTCTGACATGGTGCCTCTCACCATCAGCAGAATCCAGGTGAACCTCGGTAGGAGTAAAGGTGAACCTGATCTCACTATGATCTCATCTTTTCACAGCAGCGGCCTCCAGCGACCAATCAGAGAGGAATCCATCTTTGATGATGATGATGCCATGGATAATCCCCAATGTTCCTCTGAAGGTTGTCCATCCTCACAAGTTTCCAAACGCTCAAACTCTACCTCGCTCTTAAAAATCCCAGCCGGCCCTGAACGCCTCACCGTGGCGGAGCATCCATCCAGCATCTCGGTCGGCTGGAGGCTGGAACCCCATCAGCACCATCAGCACCACCAGCAGCCACTGGAGATGGAGAACAGGAAACAGCACGTGAGCATGGAGACCCCCCCCCCACTCCCCATCATGGAGGAGATAAGCTGCTGGGCCGCCATCATCTTCAGACTCCTCCATCCTGTTTGCATCTCTAACTCAGCGGTGGGTGGGGGTGGGGGTGGGGGGCAGCCACCATGACCCCACCCCCTCCCCACCACCACCCACACCCATCGCCTCCATGCGGCGCTTTAAATGTTTTATGAGCGACTTACCGAAATAATCCTCGGTCCTGTTCAGACAGCAGCTCCTGGCCGCTCAGCCGCTCCTCATATCGGGTCTCTGAGCGACAAGCTTCCGGTTGGAACCGGCTCGGACCGGTTCTGGTTCTGGTTCTGGTTGTGGGTTCTACAGGGATAATCCCGTCTGGGATGGTTCCATCGGCGCCTCTTCGCAGTTGGGATGATGTCTCCGGTGCTGATCCGATCCAGGTTCAAGGCTGGCACAGTGACGTCAGCGACTTCCTGTAGGAATTTCAAAATAAAGGTTCAAGCGCCACACTGAGAAAATATGAATATTTCATCCAGGGGCGCCGCCAGGGAATTGGGGCCCCATTAAAGACATTAATATTGGGCCCTCAACTCCCCCCAAATAAAAAAAAAAACATTTACTCAAGCTTTACAACTGCTAGAAAGATGCACTGGAGACTATCATTTACATTGTCAATGTAATTTTCATTGTAATATTTCTACAAATGAAAATTATCAGAACACGAAAAGGTTAAATATACATTAACTTTGAACCTATCAAGATAATAACAGCTTATTTAACACAAAAAGCACAGCTGTATCTATGAACACATGAATAGAAAATAGGTTTAGGATTGAGAACATATATTCCTACAAGATTTCACTATAACTTTATTAAAGGACAGATTATTTTTATGCCCTGAGAGTTTATATTTCTTTAATCTGTGCATGTAATGACAATGTGTTAATGTGTTGCTTTCATTGCCACTACCTCTAATGACGTGCACGTGGCATTTAATGC